TCGAACCTAGAATGATTTTTCATTTTCCGGATGACTGTTTTATCCATTGTGCTATCCTGGGTTTACATTCAACTGTTTCACGAATATCTTTTTATAATATTTGACGTGGAAAAGTTTGTTTCCACGCATTTAAGCAACAAGAAAAAATAGAAGCTTGTCGTCTACATGATAAAGCGTTATTTTTAAACTTTAACTTTTGACATAAAAACGTTAACTTCTTACGAAGAAAGAGAATAAAAATGACGTACTTTCTTTTCTCGTGAAATCTTCCCAGTTCGCCGACGTGATCTCACCTGCGAATCAAGGAGCTCGAACATATACGGCCGAAGGACCCGCACTCCTTCGAAAAAGGGAATTTTTAACGTCCAATCGATAACTCGATCCTGTAACAACAAGAACAGAGATATTTAAGTCAATATTTTTTTTTACAATAATAATAATAATAATAATAATAATAAAAAACGTACCACAAGAGAATTTCATTTTGATCGTAATATTCATAATTTAACGAACTTAATTTATATAAGATCGTTAATCCCTATGATAAAAAATAATAAGTAAGATTAATCGAAGACGAAATATTCTTCTCTTAATAATACATTTGATTAATCGGAAAAAGTAACTTCTTCCTTCGTTAATAGAAACTAATTAAAATTAAAGATAAAAATCATTTTGATTGAAGTACTCGAACCGTAAAGGGAAACACTTAGTCGGAAAAATGATTTTAAAAAAAAGAACTACCATTCGATAGAAATATATATTTTTGTAGAACGTGGGATTTGTCTTCTTTCAAACCCCCCACCCACCCCTCTCTCTCTCTCTCTCTCTTAAAAGATCGTACATAATTCAAGTTCCTTGGTTCCTAGCACGCGTTAAGCCGCGAAGACGGTAAAAAGCTTCTCTCCTATGGAAACGTTTTCCATTTTAACCAGAATTTTTGCACATTAGTGTACCGGTAAAGCGTAGTACAAACACATCCTATTATAACGTTAGTCGTTTTCCTTTTCCAGCTGCTTACTCGAAGCTCCTTAAATTTAATAGCTCAAAAGTTAAGCTTAATGTAAGAAGTAAATGTGTAGGGGGTTTATTTATTAAAGAACGCCAACGAGAGATGTCCAAGAACGGGGACGCCATAAACAGGATTTGACTCTTTCAAGAAAAAGCATCTTATATTTTCCTTATTTCCTTCCTTCCTTACTTCCTTCTTTTATTTTCTCATCAGTACCAGGAGCTATTAGTCTTTATGACTGATTAATTTCGCTTTGAACTCATTCTTTCGGGTTTAATATTCCCAAGTTTTAACCCTTTCGTTACGAGCACTCACTATAATGGACAACCATGCGATAAACCCTTATACCCTAGCGCCCATTATAATGGGCAACCATACGATTACCCATTCACCCAATAACTGAATATGCATAAAATGTATTTACTTGTATGTTTATCATACAATATTACGAAACAATTGTTATGGTAACACTTAAACAAAAATTTACACATGTTACCCTGAATAAATTGAAATAGAACATGATGAATATCAAAACACACGTCAAATATTATACTTCGGTAAAAGACCGAATATATTTACGTTTTATTCTAATACATTAATATTTTGGATGAACATTTAAAACAATCATGTGAATCTTGACATTCTCCAATTTTGATCTTTTATAATAACACATAAGATAACGTCAAGGTGTCGTTGAAGATTACCAATGTGCATACTTACAAATGTGCATAATTTTTGGCACAGTGTCCACGTTCAGTGGAATTATTTTATTGATACGATAGGGTTAACAACGTATATAAATGTTTCGTCTAATTATTCGTAAAATCTCTTTGATCGATGGGAATGAATTCCAAACCATTTGTCAGTTACTCGAAAGTGTTGTTATCACCCTCGTGATATCCAAGTTAATGATACTCCCTGAGTGCTCTTATAACATTAAACTTGCTATATTTGAAGGTATCATTCGGACGAGTTTATTAGATCGTAAACGGTCACATTAGAGGGCCATCGTGAAGAAGAAAACAAGTTCGAGACAGGTCTTAATCTTTTGCTTTAATCCTGCATTGTGATGATGTCTCTCAGACACGCGAGATCAAATCGTACCGACTACACTAGTATCCATTTTTATTCCGATTTGCCAATCGATACTACAATAATTCGAATTAAACAGGATGATCTAATCGATCGATCGATAGATCGGTTTATATTCTTTAAATTAATATTATTAGAAAAATCTTGGAAAAGTGGTCGAGCGGATCGCAGTATTAATTGCATTCTTCTTCGTTTGATAAAATAAAGGGATAGGAGAGAGGGTTGGGGAGGGAGGGAGGAGAGGGGGAATATTAGATTATAACTCTAGGGAACACTTTTCTATTTCTCTTCTTCTGCTTCTTCTTTTTTTTTCTTTTTTCTCTTTCTTTTTTCATTAAGTAACACCCCATAGTAGTAGTAGTAGTAGTTTTAACAAAAGCGTACGGTATCGTTCGTATAACTCTATATTAAATAATTTAATAAACTCGGTCGTTGTTAACGTACTCTTACTATCCCGGTCTAACCAACTTCACTCGTGGCAGGTGGAAAAAAGGAATTAAAGGACGAAAAGAAAAAGAAAAAGAAAAGCTTTTCCTTCCTTAATTTAAAAAGGCCACCACCAACTCTTGAGTAAAACCAAACTACTCGGCTACTAGTCGTATCTCACCGATGAATTTCTATACTAGTATCACGCTAGAATTATTAAGGCAACGCATTTTACATTTATCCGGTACCCCCATAAAACTGTAAACGCGTTGTCGGGATCGGTTTTATCGCGTACTCATCTGCGAACCGGGTTCGCTAGTTTACGCTGAATTCATTTACTACTATTTCATCACCCTCTCCCTCCTCCCCCCCCCCTCCTTTTCTGTATCTATATCTCTCTTTCTCTTTTTCCATGTACGACAGGGAAAGAAAGAGAGATTGTTCACACGGATGAATAATTTTATATCTTGTCATCGTCATCGAAGCGTTAGACGATTACGTTAACACCTTCCTACGACGAACAGCAATCCAGAGTGAAAAACGTTAACCGATTAATTCAGTGTGCGYGTAAGTTAACTCGAGAAGAAAAACAATTGAAACGCGTTTTCTCAACCGAAATACCATGTATATACCTAAACATATGCATTTATACGATTTATAT